TTGATCGAATTGAGGCCAAATGAAATTTGAACCAGACCATTCTAAGATGGACTAAACATTTTTAATGGCTTAGCGAAGTCCCATAATATAGTTAGTCATTGGATTACCCTAATTATTTTTGTATTAGTGCCATGAGATTGAATGCTCTCCTATAAATAGTCCTAGTTCCAACTAGTTTAGGCTACTATCATTGCCTCCATAAGCTTGATTAAGTGATTGTGAGCTAATCCATCCCTAGAAAAATCATTAAGGACTTACGACCTAGCTCTATAGCTTATAATCACCTCATCTTATCCAAACAAAGTTGCCTACAATCTCAATTGGCCATTAGATAAGCTTTAATGATCGAGGAACAAATCTTATATTAAAGGTCAATCTCTAATGATCTCATTCTTTATAGCCGCATGACCTACGAATCAAATCTTAGATTTGGGTTTGTGTTGATCTTCTGATCGAGACAAACCTAACCACAAACCCTTTCCTTCCTCTTCAATCATGAGATAGCTACCGACTTCGTCCTTCATCGCTATCTTCTTCCTTGATCGAGCAAACACGAAAAACAAGCCTTTCTTCTTTCACCCCTTGCCCCCATCCTCATTCTCTTTCTTTTTTTTTTCTTCTTCCTTGAAAGTTCACATTGTGTATGACCTCCTTCCAATTAATTCAAATTAGTTTGGAATCTTATGCTGCAATTTGAGATAAATAACTTCTATTTATTGAAAGATAAACTTATTATATATATTAAAAGCATCATTATTTCTATTTTTATGATAATTTTTCAGATATTTAATTATAAATAATTCAATTATTTTTTACAAAAACAATTAAATACTTTATTACTATTATTTATAGATTTAATTTTTTAGATATCATGTAGCTATCCTTTTAATTAAATATCTTCTAAAATATTAATAGTTTAATTTAAACAAACTAAAAATCTATTATTCAACACATTAATTTTATTTTAAAGAAGATTAATAATGAAAGCCAATGCTTTTAAAAATAGTTATGACTTCATCAAGAATATAGACATGATACTCATATCAAATATTATTTTAATTAATTAAAAATCTTAATTGAACTAGCAATTTATGTATTTATTTAATTAAAAAAAATCAACTTTAACTATTGTGATTAATTATGATAAAAAAGGCAGATAGCAATCCTTCTTGCTCAGATTTATATATAAATTATAGTTATTTTATAATTTAATGAAGAGATCAAATTAGCTTAATATTTCTGAAAACCCCTTCCAGCTAGCTATTAACAGCACCATACTGTATCCAGATAGTTTCTGAAAAATCAGCTTATATAATATAAATATAATGATATGGACAATTTACCACTGTTTTCCACTATATATATAAACATAAATGTCATCAAACTATAAGCAAAGAGAACTGTAATTGTAGTGACACAAACACCCTTATATAACAAGCACTATTAAAAAATATAGTTTTTTGCAGCATTTGTTAGAGACAGTTTGAAAACAGTTTAATTTTTAATTTTTTGTGGCGATTATAACCGGTACAAATATGTTACTTTGCATTGGTTATAACCGCTACTAAAACTAGCACATTATTTAATCTACCACAATAGATCAAACCGTTGCGGAATATCGTTGCAGTGCATTACAATTACAGTGGGGGTGCAGCGGTTTTTGAACAACTGTAAAGAAAAAATGTGGTGGTTATAACCATCATGATAATTAAAAAATTGTGCTACGATAGCCCTATTTTTTAAAGTTAAATTATTATCAATATGCAAATATAATATACGACGAACACGTGTTAGGTGTGTATCAAACATACTGCCAGTACTGCCTATTAAAATAATAACAAATAAATGAATGACACGTGTATCATACGTATTTACGCTAAATAGCGATGATTTAGCGAAGAATTTGCTACGAGTTAGAGAATGATAAGTGACTTTTATTTTTAAAGGGGATAGCTGAATTATATATTTATTTATTTGTTTATTTTGTAGAGCAATATTAATTATTATATAATTTAAATTATATTATTATATCACACTTTAAGCTTTTTTTTTTAATATAACATATGGTTTTTGGATTAAAGATCTATTGCTCTTGGCCTAAACCTAATTCCCCTCTTGGAGATCCCGCCGCCCCTCTCTTCTCCCTCTTCCTTCCTCTCAAACCTCAAGTGCTCTCCTTCACCACATCATATCTCCTTCTCTCCTTATTGGTGTTTTTTTTCAACGCCGGCAAGAATGCATGGCGGATCCCGAGATTGACAGCGGATTTGTGCTCGACACCTACGGCGACATTCACATCACCCGCTCACCGTTCTTCGACGTCGGGTTCGGCTTCGATGACACTGTTGAAGACTGTTTGAACCGCATCCTTCCCACTCTCATAGAAGTCCTAGACAATCAATTCCAAGACTACGATTGGATCATCGTCGGCCACCCACCATCCTCATCACCACCGGCTACCGATCCGTCAACGATGTCTTCCTAGTGGTAATATCCTTTTTCGTATGGTTCATCTTTCTCCGCTAAAGCCTACAAGTAGTTGAGTGAGAAGGCCTTCGAAGTCAACCTCTCATTGTTAAACGTTGAATTATGTTATGTGTACTTAGCATTTACTCTTGCCTTGAATTTTGATGGAATTGTTTGGTTAATCTCTATTGCACATCTTTGGCCTAAGCAAGTTGACAACTTAAAATTCATAATCTTCTTTTATGTGCTAGTGGTAAATTTTATGAGCAAAGTTTTATTCAATTGTCTTTCTAATTTCTAATGGTAACTCCTAGTTGTTTCACATCACCGGGTCATCGGAAGGCCGCCGTTTTATGTGACCAAACTATCTAAAGCAACTCTCTCTAATCTTATCTTCCATTTGCTCTACTCCAACATTTTCATGTATATGCTCATTTCGTATCCTATCTCTAAGGGTAAAGCCACTCATCCACCTGAGTATCCTCATCTATGCAACACTTAACTTAGTATTATGCTTCTCTTTTAATTGCCAACATTCGGCACCATAAAGCATTGCAAGTCTCACCACCATCTTATATAATTTTTCCTTATGTTTGAGGGGGACTTTTCTATCACACAAAAAGTCCGATGCATTCCTCTGACTTTTCATGTTCTTGCTAACTTAACTATGCATATTTGTTCAAACTTTTCATCCAAAATGTATTTATCTTTTATTACATACATACATACATATGTATGTGTGTAATAAAAGATAAATAAATTTTGGATGAAAAGTCTGGACAAATATGCATTATTAAGTTAGCAAGAACATAGGTTATGAGATACTGATAACAATGGTTAGGTAATATTTATGTTAAATCAATTAGTGAATAATTGATTTAACTACCTCTATGACCGTTGAGAAATTTGTAATAACTATTTCAAGGTCTTATTTCAATATTTTTAATTATTTAAAAATATTAAAAAAAGTATCAAAAAATGGGAAAACAGCTCTAATGCATCCCTTACTATCCCTAGGCTCATACTAATTAATCAAAGTGATTTTAGAAGCTAAAAACCTCTTAGGCTTAATTTAGTGTTAAATATTTATTTGATTGGTCCATCGGATCGCGAATTGCCTAATAGGCTATCTTGCCTATTATTTAATCTATTTTGAGCCATTTTAATTTGTTTGGTGGATTATATAATATTTGCTTAGTCTAACCCTAAGTAGATCATGGGGTTAGACCTAAGATGACCTATTGAACCTTAGGTGGGTGTTCCCTTTATGGAATTTCATCTTAGTCTAGGCTACTTACCTCCAAGTGACCTAATAGTCTTATTTAAGTAGTTTGTAAATTGGTGTGGTGTTGCCCTAATGGTCTTAGATGATCCTAAGTAATCTTGAACCCTAAACACATTTCCATTAACATGTGAAGCATGTTATGCCTTGCGTAATGAGTTTTTCAAACCTAATTAACCTTAAGTATAATTTTACTAGCCTTGAATAGCTAGTTGAAGATAGAGATGGACGTAGTGGTGTCAATATTGGACACGACTAGAAAACCCGACTCGAACCCGACACGGAAATTTCGGGTTTGGGTTAGAGATTTCAACCCGTTTGTAAAAATGGGTCGGTTTCAGGTTGACCCGGAAACCCGGAATCAACCCGGTTTGACCCGAGTTCGCGTCATTCATGTCCGCGTCCATTCCGTCACGTCGTCTGTGCCTCTGCAGTCTGTCGAGTAGTCTGCAGCTGTCGGGTTCGACGTCGCGTCCGCGGTTGGCTGTCCGCGTCAAGACTCGAGCGGCTCAAGCGGTAAAGCCCATAGGGCATTCCGGAACCGGATCCGCCGTCCGCCCGTTCGGTGACCGTTGTCCTCGCATGGTCGCACCGTCGCTGCGTCGCACCTTGTGACTTGCACGGCAGCAAACGGACTAATGGAGTCACCGTCTCACGGCGTTCGCCAGCCATACTCGCAGACGAAGGTCTCCGCCAGCAGTTGCATCCGCCGTCGGTCCGTTCGCCAACTATTTCGCGCGCTTGTTCAGCTAAATCGCGGAAATTCGAGTCGTGTAGGGTTGACCCGAACCCGAAGCAGGTCGGGTTCGGGTCCGAAAAATCGACCCGTTTGAAAAAATGGGTCGGGTTCGAGTTGACCCGAATAGTGCCGGGTCGGGTTCGGGTTAGGTCAGTTTCGAGTTCGACCCGAACCCGACCCGTGACCCGAAATTGACACCCCTAGATGGATGAATGATCGATAAGCTTATTGATAAAAAATCTGCTTATATACTTACCCGAGCAATCATTTGAACTTTTTCGATCAGGAGCACAGTATTTTAAGAAATATTCTCATATATTTCATTAAGAAAATAAATGGACGTTTTTATTCAATTATCTTAATTATGATTCATCTAAAATTAAAATTTCAATACATGAAAATATTGTGATTACTATAAATAAAATTCCAATTTTGAAAACTTTATAGATAAAAATTCATATTTATTTTTTATATATTATTGTATCTAATAAAATTGTCAAATAATCCGATTGGATTATTACTCGACTCGATCGAGCACAATTGCCGCCATCTTGCTCTCCATCTCTCTCCCGCCCCTGTTTCACCAAGAGCGTCGAAGGACTGACGGAATTTTCATCGGTTTCTCGGTTGAACCAATGGCGTCTTCGAAGCTTCTGATGACTTCGATTGCGGCGGCGTTCGTGATTTACGGTGTTGGAGCGGACTCGGGGATTGAGGAATTGCGTTCCAGGTTATCTGCCCTAGGTTAGTCAGAGCTGATCTTTTATTTATGGTTTTAATTCTGGTGTTGGAGTTTGTCCCTTACTTTCTTTGTCGTTGGAGGACTGTATCTAGTCTGCATTAGGGCATATCTGCATGTTTGTTCTTGCATTTGATCTATGCCTCAAAATTCGTTTATTTTATCCATCCTTTGGGGTCAGTGAGGATTTTTATGTTATATTTGTTTGTTTAGATTAGCAGGATCATAAGCTTTGGGGAAAGAAAAATAAGTAAAAAATGAAAATAATTTCTGAAAAATGGACGAAGGAATGTAGGGAAATGCTCTTTTGAGTGAGCTTCTAAACTAATTGGAAACTTGCCTTCTTAAAAGGTTAGAAGAAGTCTGGACAACGGAGTACAACTGGAGCCATTCCAAAGAATGTTCTCAATCCGTTTGGTAGTCAAGCCTGTGAAGTCCCTTTGATTCATGTCTTCTGTTTATTTTGACAATTGGAGTGATATCGTTTTTTGTTGTAAGAAAGAGAAAAAAATGTCAATCAAGAGAAAAAGGGAAATGCTTTTTTGATTATTGTATTTCTGTTTATTCGGACGCACCTTTGACACCTGTTAGACACCGAAGACGTGTCCAATTAAAAAAAATATAAAAAATAAATTGCACATATGTGTCTTATATATTTTATGAAAATTTTTTAAATATAAATTCTTGTATTTCAAAATTTTATTTATTAAAAAAAATCAAATTTAATTTATTATTTCTTCTCCACAACCCAATCAATCGTCTGCACTCAATATCTCCATTCCTCCAACATTCCCATTTTCATTTCTCTTAGTCAGTTGCGACTTTGTTTCATATTAAAGCCTGATGCCATCTTAACATTGATGTCCGACACCATCTTATATTAATGTTTCAAAATCATCTCAACATTGATGCCTGACGTTGTCTTGACATTGACACTCAATGTTAACAATTTCTAAACCCACAATCAATCCCTCACGCTGTCTTGATATCTCATCTTTGGCCAACACGTCTCAACATTGATGGCCGACGTTGCCTCGACATCGACGACCGACTCCATCTCAATATCGATGCCTAATTTTCATTGCAAAATATTGATGTCTGACTCTCAATCGCACGGTCATCTCTCCTCTCAATGTCTGACACATAACATTTGATGTCCAACTCTCGACATCTTAATATTAATCATTTTAACTTTTAAGAACAAATCATAATTCTAAACTTAAGCGCCGAACAAATCACGCTTTAATGCCACCCCAAACTGCAACAACTTTCTCTCAACTGCCTTGACCTCCAACCCTCTATTTTTTCCATAGTCACCACCATCGTAGCCGCCGTCGGGATCAATTGAAACCCGCACATCACCACCACCTCTTCTAAATTTTTTAGAGTATTAATCTCTTTTTTATGTTAATTAAAACATTTATGAAAGAGAAGGATGATTGAAATAAATGAAATAGAAGCAATTGAGGAGGCATTGGACTCCATAGGATGAGACAGGGGAGAGACTAATTTATCATGATGATGAATCAAATAAAAAACATGTCAAAGATTATGTGCAAATGATTTTTAAGTTTTTGTCAATTATTTTAATTTTCTTTAGGAATTAAATATGGATGAGTATGAAATTGAGAAATAAGGAATTTGGATTTGAACTTGATATTATATGACACTTTTATGCCATTCTTATATTTAATATTATTTTGCTCTTATAATATTTGTATTTCAATTCTATGTCATACTATTTATCACTTGTCACTTTATCTCTAATTTAATTTTTTATTTTATATGTATGTCGATTTGTTACTTCATAATTCAATAGAAAGTTAACATTGTTATCCTTTAACATATTATTTGAGTATTATATAAAAAATCACTTTTAACATTTATTTTGATTTAACACAATTTTTTGATTTTGAGGCTTATGACTCAAAAAGCCTTGAGACTTACGCCTCGTTTCATGAACAAAAACGCATGAATGCCTAATTGCGCAATTATATATACATACCAGTGTCCATATCTTATATTTGCAATGATTGTGTCCCGTGTCTGTGTCATGTTGTGTTCGTGTCTGTGCATCATAACCCACAACAAATATAAAGAAAAATTCATTTTCTCCCTAAAGCTACAATTCACCTAGGCAATAAAAAATTTCTTCTTGCATGCACATTAAAAAATCCTTACTGAGAGATATGTCTTTCTCATGAACCCTAGCCAAGTGGGTATAACATAGAGGCCTCTAAAGCTTTTATTTTTTAAAGAAATTTGGGAAAATTCAAATTAGAGGCCTCGAAAGCTTATACGCCTAAGTAGAGATACCTCCTTTTATAGTTGTTGACAACTTGACATCCTAGCCATCCAAAAGGATATCATATGGATTGATGAGGTGGCATCTTTTAATTTATGAGTTCTTAGGTATAATCACAAACATTTAATCTCTATAAGAATATTTTAGGTACTCTTTTCAAATATAATGAATTAATTAAATATAGTTTTTAATTGCCACCATTCCTGCTTTAACATATGATTGTGCTGTGTCATTTGCTTCCATAGAATATAGTATCGCAGATAGAATTCAGGATATAAAGAAGAAGGATCAGAGCATCTTGAATTTCGAAAATGCTATTAACGAGAAGTCAGCAAGCATTTTTTCTCTGCAGAGTCAGATAGAATTACTTCGGGTGAGAACTTCATATTTCAAAAAATGCATTGAAATTTGGTTTTTCCATTCATAGATCTATTTGTACTAATGTTCTATTTTTGTTTTGGATTTTACTAGAAACAAGCTGCTGCTGATGCACAACAGTATGTGGAAAAGGTCAATAAACAAGCTTCTGAGATGGAAAAACAGGTTGCAAGTGAAAAAAAAAAATATTGTTTTTGTATGGAGTGATGATATGTAGATTATGTCATGTATTTTCTTGTTTCAGGTTGCTAGGCTTAAGAGTGAGATTGAAGCACAGACTATGAAGAGAGGTGCTCTGGAAGCTCGGGGCGCTGAAGCAGAGAAGAATATGCAAGAACTAAATTTAAAGCTGGAGCGTGTGGGTACATACTACATAGTGTAATGATGATTTGAATGTTTAATTTTTTTTCCTTTATCATTTATCTTTCGCTAGTCTTGCCATGGCTCTTAGTAGTAACACTGATGACATGATAAATATAATTTATAAATTTTTAAAATAAATTTAACTTCAACTAGTTTAATCATTTAAAAGTTATATTTTTTCTGAAAATTAATTCAAAATATATTGAATGAAATGTAAAATTAATATGTTTTAAACATATGGCGAAAACTCCAAAGGTGAAGTGCGCTAGATAACCTGTGTAAATATCTCCAACGATTCACAGCACTATCTTAAATATACCATGAGTAAATGCTAGAAAATTGTCTTTGTTGGCGAATTTAAAAAAATGCTTTGAACATGAGAGAGAGTTGGAGATTGTTGCTTATAGACAGTTGAGAGATTTAAAAGAGAGGGAATGAGAGTGATAATGGGAGGTGAGGTATAACGGGATTGAGTTCGCATAATATATGGAGTGTGGTATCAATATTGTCAATGGATAGAATCACATTGATCAAATTCTTTGACTATTGTGAGGATCTAGTCATCTAGTGATTAGATTTGACTAGGGGGTCACCTAGTCACTAAATGACTAGGTCCTTGCAATGATAAAAAAATAATAGTGGTAGCTTTCAATGGGAGGATTAGTGTTAGGTGGAGATGGCCTATAATGTTATCTAGCTAAGTCAAACTTGAGGTGACTAAGTCTTGCGGCTCCCTCTAGAGACTAGTGTTTAATAGAGGTCGGAGGTTTGGTTGGCGGGCAGGTATAGGCACCACTTGTTCGCCAACACTAACCTCTAGAGGGAGCTGCAAGACTTGGCCACCTTTAGTTTGACTCAGCTGGATAGTACTATAGGCCATCTCCGCCAACCGCTGATCCTCCCAATGAAGCTACCACTATAATTTGTAAGATAACTCGTTGGCCTCTTTCAAGGTTGTCTTGCTAATCACTGCTGTTTCTTAAATGGCTGACCTCACCGCTCTACACAGAAGCTTCTCAAGTTGCTGATTAAAACCAGCCCTTTGGAGATCTTCAGCATTTGAATTGATATTTACCAAAGAGAACTATCTTCAATGGCTTGAAGATGATATCATCTCCAACTATCTCAGCTGCTGCACAGGTCACCTTAGACCTGCTTTGCAACCATTATATTTAGCATATTTTCTAAGCAATGAATGGTGCTGGCGGTGTATGGATTAGGAAACAGAATAATTGGAGAGAAAAGAGACATCCGATTAAATCTAAAGTTTTCAGATTTAATCACATATAAAGAGAAAACAAATCTGGAGAGAATCAGGGTCTTAATGAGGAAATTATTCTCCACCGTAACTTAACAAGAAAAACTTTCAGTTCAGTAGAAGCGGTTTGGCATCTATTAAAAAAATGTTTTGGTTTTATTTGGATATCTAGAACCCCCTAGTAGACCAAATTTTCCTGACCTGCTGAAATATTCATAAAAACAATAACCGTATCTGATGCACTGGGATACTTATTCCAGGGTCTTGAGGATAAGCATTTGTATGGAAAATAATACTTTTATATCCTGTAGCTTTGATTCTTATTAGCCTTTATATCTGGTAGAAGTTACTTCTCATTGCGCACTTTTAATCATTTATCAGCACTTAATGATCTTTTGTAGGTTTAGTTTCTACAAAGTAGCTGTATTTTTCTTCATTTATATTCAGTTATATGAAACAGTGTTAGCTTTAGCTGTTGATCCACTTTTGAGATGACTGGGTTATCCTACGACAGTTGTGTGGGCAATGGAATAAGCCTTGATTTATGCCAGGCCAATGATGCTCAAGTATTTTGTTTCTGCGAGCACTACTTGATAGCCATGTAAAGGAGTTGAATTCTTAAAATAATTGAAAAAAATGAACTTTAATTTATGACTGAATGTGAATCGCTAAACTCTCTCTAAGCATTTGACTATTGCATTTGACCTATCTGTGCTCCTGTCATTTTAGAGGTATCCTTTGTTTCATATCGAAATCCCATTGCCTTTATTACTATACTTTTTAGTAACTTGCCAGATATGGTCGCAGTTCTGAATGTGCAATTACTTGCCAAATGCTTGTATTGTAACTGACACATTGATGTAGACAAAAGGGGGGTCAACACAAGTTGAATTTTTCTTGTATTTTCTTGCCTTGTGTCTTTTCATCTTCCCCCTCTCCTTTTATGTTATCTGTCCTTTCATCTTCCATTTGTCCTTTGGATTTTTGTTGGTTTCATGATGGCATTGGTTGTTTCGGTTTGAGCTTAAGAAGTTAAAACTTTAGTTGTGCCAAGCTCATTAATATCTAGTGGAGAAGTAGCTCATTATGAGCTATAATTTGAATTTGAAATTCAAATTGGACTTGAAATAATTTTCCCAAATTGCTTACCTAAATTAAGGAGTATTAATTATTCTAATTAATCTTCCCATGGTCAATGCTTGCCGCCGGCCCCTTCTCCATATCCCATTAAATCTCCTTTAATTACTTCCTAAACTCCCTCCCCAACAATTCCTGGAAAGATTTCCCAAATCTCAGCCACCTCTCCATAGCTGATTCCTATTAAATTGATTTCCAAAAGAGGCTCTCTCATTTTGGAAACAATTTCAATTCCACGTAACAGTTCTTGAAATCCTTCCCGTCACTCCTTTTCCTTGTTGGCCAAACTCTCCACATTTAATTGCTTTCCATTAGTATTATTCTCAATTTGGACAGTTGATTTATTTCCAAATCACAGAATTAATATTTGGCTGAAAACCCCACCCGTCTCCCTCCTCTTTCCCTAAAAGCTCCTCTCTCTCACGGCAAAGCCTTGCTGGACTAAAGGCTAAAACTCCTCCTATAATTCCTTCTTCACATCCCACCTGTTCAAATTGCCTTAGCCCCACCTATTTGTTTTCCTTCCAAAAGAAGGCTTCTTCTTTTGGAATCCTTTCAAACCTCCTTCCAAGTTCTCATTCACGCCTCCCTTCTCTTCCCGTGAAGCTCTTGTTTGCTGCCCACATTCCAGCCAAGTGTTTTCTTTGCTGCCTTGCACGTTTTGAAGACTGCAGCTTGCTGTCCAGAATACTCCCAGCACCTTATAGCTGCTGTCCAAGGTTTTCCCAAGCACCCGAAGTAGCTATCAAGAAATTTCCAGGTGTCAACGCTACTGTCCAGCCATCGTAGCAATCTCCTATTGCTGTTTTGCTGGCCTTAAAGTTCAGAGTTGCTGTCCAAGACTTCTAAGAGTCAAAAACTGATGTTTAGACCTCTCGATTTGCTCTTCAAGACATTTAGAATTCAATCCTCCTACCCGTTCTACATCAGGTTTGGCATCTATCAAAAAAATGTTTTGGTTTTATTTGGATATCTAGAACCCTAGTAGACCAAATTTTCCTGACCTGCTGAAATATTCATAAAAAAAAATAACCGTATCTGATGCACTGGGATCCTTATTCCAGGGTCTTGAGGATAAGCATTTGTATGGAAAATATAACTTTTATATTCTGTAGCTTTGATTCTTATTAGCCTTTATATCTGGTAGAAGTGACTTCTCATTGCGCACTTTTAATCATTTATCAGCACTTAATGATCTTTTGTAGGTTTAGTTTCTAAAAAGTAGCTTTATTTTTCTTCATTTATATTCAGTTATACGAAACAGTGTTAGCTTTAGCTGCTGATCCACTTTTGAGATGACTGGGTTATCCTACGACAGTTGTGTGGGCAATGGAATAAGCCTTGATTTATGCCAGGCCAATGATGCTCAAGTATTTTGTTTCTGCGAGCATTACTTGATAGCCATGTAAAGGAGTTGAATTCTTAAAATAATTGAAGAAAATGAACTTTAATTTATGACTGAATGTGAATTGCTAAACTCTCTCTAAGCATTTGACTAGCATTTGACCTATCTGTGCTGCTCCTGTCATTTTAGAGGTATCCTTTGTTTCATATCGAAATCCCATTGCCTTTATTACTATGCTTTTTAGTAACTTGCCAGATATGGTCGCAGTTCTGAATGTGCAATTACCTTGCCAAATGCTTGTATTGTAACTGACACATTGCTTCCGGTTTAATTTCTTCGTTGAGATTTAACTTATTCTTAGTTCGAGTTTGATAGAATAAATGCAAAGCTTTTATTTCCCTTGAAAAATCGCAACTAATTGTATACGAGAGGACTCTCTTATGTAAAGCAATGGCAGCTAGTGATAATGCCTACTTATGCGTTTCAACATTGAGTATTAGAATTGACACCTGTTTATATGCTGTTCTAGAGTTTAGCATATAATGTTTTGGAAGATTGTTTATTTCCTCTGTCTGTCCATTCACTGCAGTTTTTCTTTCAGCTCCAAGAGAATTATGATAAACAGAAGCTCAGAATAAAAAATACCGAACGTGATCTTCAAGTTGCTGAGGTTGGTCATATTTACCAACTATACCATCTGGCTGACGTTTGTATTATGTTTTCCCACATAATTTGATTGCATTTCAGGAGGAGTTGATGAAAGCACAATTAGAAGCAGCTTCAAAGTTAAAAAAGTTGACTGAGGTTTGAAGATATGGCTTGGCATGTTTTAGCTATTTTCAACAACTGCGATAAAATTATTCAGCAACTGACATGATATAATTTACAATGCCCGGCTTTCTTGGTGATTGCTAAATTCAGAGAATTGGAGAGGGAAATGTTTAATTTTATTATACAAAACTATACCTATTTATAGATCTATACATGATATCTTAATAAAGAAATAAATAATTACAAAATCATGCATAATTACCCTAATATAACCCTTCCTAAATTAGCCAACCAAATATGGAAGGAGATCGGCGTGATTAAGGTGAGCCTCCCATGGATTCCTATTCTTGTCATGGGATCAAGTGTCAAGGGGTGATTGGGATTTAATAGAGATTGGCGTGATCCAGGTGAGCAACCATGGATTTCCATCCTGGCCGTAGGATCAAGTGTCAATGGATGGTTGGAATTTTTAACAGTGATCAAATATGCAGACAACATTCTACTTTTTTTAAACAGTAAATTTTGCTTATTTAAAAATGGCTAGTATAGCCATTTCAAATTGCTTGATAAATATTAGTGCCAAAGAGAGATACTTTGATGGAACTAGGAATTTTAGTCCATCAATGTAACAATTGCCTTGACCAAATAATTAGGATATTTCTAGTTTTGTTGTTTCCTTTGTAAATATTTTTCAGCGAATGAAAAGTATCTTTGGTCAGTATGGAAATATGTCAGAAAAAGTCAAAAATTTATGTGGATTGTTGATTCAATAACTAGTTTTTTTTTTTTTAGTTTTATGTTGTGAAGTGTTTGATCCAGTGTCTATCACCATCTGCCAGCTTGCCCGCATATTCCTTTGATGTCAACTTTTCATGATTTTGATCAGAATGGTCTTCTAATTGTATCAAAATACCATCTTCGGTGCGGATGTTTAAATTGATAGCTGAGATCTAAAAATCCATGTGTTTGAAAACAGTTCTTGGTGGTTGCATCGTTGCCTTTTTTCTAATTTGCTGCACTGTTGTAGAAACGCTGTATTCTGGAAAAATTTTGTACATTGTTGTTCTACGATTCAACATTATTCATTATCATTATCATTTAATATTAGCAGCTTAATTTTAAGTGATGTGCTTCCATCAAAATTTTGAATCATTTGATTATAACATCTAATATTTGGTCTTCTGATGCGGCGGGGGGAGCTCTTTGGGAAAGATATAAGGGGCATTGATTAGGGGATTTGAGCTGTTTTTTT